TACGGTGGCTCCTCTCTGAGCAGCTGAGGTTTCCTTTTGCCTTCCTGTGCCTCTCTTTCTCTCTGACTCTGTAAGCGTAACTGAATCAAAAAGAGAAAGATGCAGCAGTGACACAGGTCCACTGTATTCCCCAGTGCCTGATTCAGGTGGCAAGATTTCAAAATTATCGGGCAGTTTTCAGAACCTGATAGGCCAGAGGTCAGACGGGAAATCTCGCAAAATCTCTTGGGACGAAATGTGAGTTCAGAGTGAACAAATATGGCCGCCTCGGAAGAAGAAACAATTGTGATGGTGTTTAACAGAGAAAAAAAAACTGCAGGGATGTACTAACAAACTTTTTTTGCATTTCTGATACAGATATCTTAAGTTTAGCATCGGCCGATACTAATGCGATACAGAAAAACATCGCTGAATTGCCTTATAAGATTTATTTTGTTAAACACAGACTCAGATGTACTGGATTACAAATTTATTTTATAACTCTGCATCTGGCTTGTGAAGCTGTTGGTTTAAGGGGCGATTAAATAAACCAATACCTTCACAAGGTTGGCTTTAAAGGTATATAACGACGACCCAAGTTTAATTTGTTTATTGGATTAATTCGTTAGATCAGAATATTGTCACTGATACTGGATCTAGAATTTATTTAAATATTGTGACCGATACAGATATTAACTTCTGATCATTGTATCTCTCTTCTCTGGACTGTCTGGTGCGCCGGTGCAGTTGTTTTGTGATGGAAAGTGAGGCGTTTTCTTCACCTCATTTCTGATTGGCTTCACATTCCGCAAGCTGCCTTCTCATTCGCCGTCGGGACAACACCACACAAGTTACGATATCGGGCCAAAACCATCCAACATCTTGAATATCCCTGACATTAGATCAGAGCTGTCCTTGCCTGAGGAACTAGGCATAAGTGTGCTCAGGTTAAGCTTTGCAGTCGCGAGGGTGATTTGGACTTGTACATCACTTCACATCACATCGTACATCATTCACTTCACTGTAGTGAAAGAGCTTAATTTGATTATTCAGCATTTTCTCCTCTAAACAGCCTGAAACAAAGTCGACCTTGTCATTTAGTTTTAAAGTCATTATACTAGAAATGTTAAATGTGTTGACTATTTTTGACTTCTCCTGCCCTTTAAACCCATTAGTGATGTTTATGTACAGTTATCTTTGGATTACCACTGACTCTATTAGCTTTTTTCCTTTCATGATACATTGATGTGATAAATCAGCACTTTTATCGTGTCTGTGAAGTCCAGGGCACAGATGATAATTCAAGTGTGACACTTGACTCGGGACACAATTAGGTCACAAAATAATTTAAGTTACTTTGACCCGTGGTCTTAGAGTCTCTTTCATAGAGTATCGGAGGCAGAAGAGATGCTGTATATCGAGTCCAGGGACCTGATCTGGACTTAGTGTAAAAGACTTTATGACCGATTTGGACTTAGACTGAAGGACTTGAAGTTTGACTTGGAGTCGGTAAAAACAATCTTGAACCTCTCCGGTCCAGATTCAGTTTTCAGAATCCTGCCATTGTTTCCAAATGCAGAATGTTCCAATACAACTTTCTGATGAACATCATCCACACTGAAGAGTGTTGTTTTTAGCACAGTGATGCTTGGGTACTTTGCATTTACTAAGATGTTGACCAGAATCGGGAGATTTACAATTCATTGAGTTTAAAATCCCAAAATATATGTTGACTGTAAAAAAAAATTAAAAATTAAATTGCCGCTTTATAGGAAAAATGAATTGCTTACAGTAATCAATTTATTTCTACTATGGCTGTAAGGAGTGATTATTTTACTAATCGATTAATCTATTGAATATTCTGATGATTAATCAGACAAAAAATGGCACAATCTGCAGATTTTTTATTTAGCCACTTAAGTGTTTTTATATAATATTAGAAGTGCAGTAAGCAATGCAAATGAACAAATAATTCAATAATTTTTTAAAATAAGAAAATAAACATTTCATTGCCTTAAATACAAAAGCGCAAATTAGTGTAAGTCTGAATATGTTTAGATTTATATTTTTTTTAGCAAATGAACTTTTTTTTTACTCCGTTTATTCCAGGTAGCGATCGATTAGTTGATGAATATTTCAATAATTGATGAATCAAGCTTAATCGCAACTAATCCGATTAATTGTTTCGTCCCTAATCTCCACTGGTCATTTAATGTAAGGAAGGTATCGGCACATTTTCCCACACCCTGAACTTCATTCAGGGTGTGGGAATGAAACACCCACAAGCTGTTTCACCATTTTTATTCGTTTCTATTGGTTTATTTGTCAGCTCTGGTTCAGCTCTCTGGATGATTGACTAGATTGCTTCTTGCCCCTAATTAACCCCACTAACTGTCCTGCAGTAACAGCTGACAAATGGTTGCTAAAGAGAGAACAAGTTGGCCCGTCTGCCTGGCCTTGTGGTTCCCTTCAAGCTTCGCCCCGTGCAGATACATCTGTGGCTGTGTGCGGAGCAGAAGGCGTGTGTTTTTGTCAAGGTCAGCAGCAGTGCAGAGCATCCCGGTCCATCAGCAAACCCAGTGGCTGCTCGCCTGCCTGCCTGCCTGCCTGCCACGCTGTGCATCCAATCACCGGCTTTAATGAGAACTGATGCTGCACGCCTACAGCATGTATATTTATGGTTGGCTTTGGCCACAGTGCTCTTTGTCTCTGCAGAAACAAAGCAGTGTTCGAAGTGGATAGAGGAAAGCCTGAATGGCTTTTTAGTGCTGCAGGGTGTTATTTATTATCAGTCCAGGCAGTAATTTGAGCGCCTTTTTCAGCTTTAAAGTGTAACTTCCACCTTTTATGCCCGTAGTTTATGCTATACTCTCACAGAGCTGATTTTAACTCAGTTAGCCCTACCCTCGCTGACCTCTGCCCCCATTTTAAATGTTAATAACTTTTCACTCTGTAACGTGAGCCTCGCTGGTATCCGTCCTATCTGTTTACAGTGATAGCACGGATTCAAGGCGAGCTGCTTTAAACAGGAAGAAGTGATAATGTGAACTGATTGTTCTGTGACATTCTTTTGTCTGGCGTGAGACGTTTCACACCCTGTGAAGGTCTCACACCTCTTCAGGTGCAGCTCTGGCTGGGAGTTGACTCTGTGCTTCCAGAGCAGCTGGTTTGTGCAGCTGCGGTGTGTCTACACTTTGTCCCCAGTGGTTGTTTTGCAGGAGAAGTCGCAGTTGGGAACCAATAGCAGCACTTTAGTGAGGACACAGATTGAAAAGGGTTCAGGTGTTGATAGTGTTGCTCACGTCGGTAGCTTAGTTTCCTTCTATTTTATTTCAGAGCAACCGGATTTCCAGTGATTGAAATTGCAGTTTATTGTCTCACTAAATGGAGATGTCGTTTTATTTAAGTGATTTAAGCCTTTCACTACACCTGAAATATGTTTAACACCAAAGAAAGTTTGAGTTTAATGCTTGTTCGATGACCCTGGGTTCAGACCCCAGTTTGCACAGGAAACTGCAAACTGGAAAAGTATAAATAAGCTTTAGAGTATAAAGTATAAGTGTGAAAAATATTCTTACCTACAGACTGTACTCCCCATTTACCATGATCAAAATATTGTTTCTGTACTTTGGAGAATGTTGGAGTTTTAAAATAAGTTAAAAAAAAGAAATTAAAAAAAAGTAGCTAAGCCTGTGGGAATAAGCAATTAATCACATGATGAAATAAACTGAGTGTGATATTTTCCATTATGATGAGGCATATTTCTTGAAGGGTTATTTTTTGCTTACAGAGAGTCTGCAATCTACTTCTTCCAGGTTTTGATTGTGTGTGATATTTTATTGTCTTTTTATTATTTACTGTTTTTTGATTGTCGTGTTTTTATTTTGAATATTTAAGATGTCTGTTCTGTACGAAATGAAAGCTTATTGATCTTTGAGTTGGCAAACTTGCCTCATTATTATCATACCATTACCACTACATGACTCGAAAACGGATTCATCTATTGGCTTGGAGCAAAATCAACCAGGCTACACCAAGTGTAATTTTGTCAGATGTTGACGTTACGTCTGGCTGTTAAAAACAGAAAGTAGAAGCTGTGAACTAGCATGTGCCACACATCCTGGAGATTTAGATTTTCACATTTTTCTGTGTTTTGTGCCTCTAGTAAAGCAAAGACACATTTTTCGAACTTCACTGTCAATTATCAACTGTTTCTAATGCAATACTTCTGCATTTGTGCAACTAATGATTATTTAATTGATCGATCATTCTGACGCTAATTAGTTGGATAAAAAAATTTACACCTTCTGATGCGTTTTCATTTAACCACTTGAGTATTTTTTAAAAAACAATATTAGAAATTCACTAAAAGAAGCAAATAAACAAATAATTCCGTTACTTTTTTTGAGTACAAAAATAAAGATTTTATTGACTAAAATGTAATAACACCATTTCTTTAGAGAACATTTGCTTGTTTGAGAAAAATAGTGGCTACTAATCTGTTTATTTTTTTAAATAATTGGACAGCAGTAGAGTTTTTTCTTTAAGAAATTTGAATCAGATGAAGCTAAAACAGCACCACTTGAGTTCTGGGTAGACTCTCTTTCTCTCTCTCTCTTTCTCTCTCTCTCTCTCTATATATATATATATATTCATAAGCCAATTAACAATTAATTGACTCGTAAATTAGTTTCAGTAACCGATTAATTTTGGTTAATTTGATTAAACCTTACATGCTTTATTAAAAACCCACTTATGAGTTGCTTTGCTGGGAGTTTTCTGCACCATTCTCCCATCATCCATCTCCAAACCAGCCGCTTGTTTTCCTGGAGTCACTGACATTCTTCTAGAATGTTTTTCCTATGTTTCTAGACGTAAACACAAACTATTTCCTTTTTTCTCTTTCATCTCTCCGTCTCTCTGCTCTGTCAGATGCTGCCAGTGTGCATTTGTTATCTGCCATTGCTGCTCAAACGGTGAAACCTGTTTTCGAGTGACTCCTGTCTTGTGCGTCTTCCCAGCGGGGCGGCTGGTTCCAGGTTCCCCATGCCCTCTCCCGTCACCTCTGCTTGGCCTGCCGAGCCCACAGTCGGACCTCCTCTGGGCTGCAGCTGAAGTGGGACAGAAGAAGCTGGACGCGGTGGTGCAAGAGCCAGCGGTGGTGGAGGTGGGTCATCACAGGACCCAGAACCCCCGATAGCAGGCAGAGAAAGGCCTGCGTTGTTCCGCCTCCTGCCACTCTAAGATGAACAGACTGAGCTTCCATAACAACAAAACAATGCAGGACCGCCGCTGTGTCTGTGTCTTTTTGCCCAATGATGACACTCTCAATATCATCGTCAATGTGAGTGAACACTTTTTTTCCCCTTTACATATAATTTATTTGCAGATATGAAAATATAACAGGAGGTGTTTATTACTGTGACCTTTCCGCCTGATTGTGTCGATCTTTGAATGATTATTAACAGAATAAAATAGCTTGAAGTCAAGAACAAGATGTGTTTATTTTTTTGATATAACTAGGGCTGAAGTGATTAATCGGATAACTTATGTATTGATTATTGAAATAATTGTTAAGTAATTTAGTAATCGATTAATCGTTAAGTGGAATATGCAGACTCTAAAAAAGGCCAGTTGCTGAGCAGTGAGGTTTTTATTTTTTTCATTGACTATACAAAAAGTTTTCTTGTTGATATTCAATAGGTGTTAATATTTTCTGCTCTTATCTGGAGACCTTCTGGTCTGTCCTCTACACTGGCCCGTTTTTTAGAAGAAGAACCAGTGTGCCATTATGGCATCTTTCTGTGCATTGATGGATAATCCAGACACCACAGCCTCTCCCAGAAAAGTTTTTATTCTTCTTAAAATGTGCTGGTAAAATATTTGTATTTGAAATAGTCTCAACCAGGTACAAAGTGACTCTATTTGCTGTTCTTTTGTCTGTGTTTGTCTGTAAATATGTTCTTCCCAGAACTCCTCGTGTGGAATAATTTCAGCTTCACCCGGTTCAAATTCTATTGACGATTTGCAAATCGGTCGTCCGACCTGGGTATAGGTACTTAATGGAAGAATTATTTTTTTTCATTAAGTACCTTTTTCTATGCAGTTATTAAACGTCTAATCCAAAAGTTATTTATTGATGCCAAGCCAAACAGAAAGGGCTGAACTTTTCACATGTTGATGTTAGGAATATTTTTCAATCAATAGAATTGTTTGTGTATAAAATAAACTTATTTTTAAATAAAAAAAATCATCAGAATGTTCCAAGTTTTTTTTTAAAGCTGATTAATCAATTAATCACCAGAATAATGAGCCCTGATGTAACTTGTTTTTCTGAGAAAAACTTGAAATCTCTTGATTTTCCCTTGTAAGGTGAAGACTCTGTGCCAGGAACTGTTGGTCCAGGTTTGTGATCTCCTCCGGCTGAAGGACTGTCATCTGTTTGGGCTCAGCGTCATTCAGAGTAAGGCGTCTCCTCTTCTCTCTCTTCTCTTCTCCTTACGGCAGCCGTGCTTCGCTGATCTCATGACAGAAAGCAGTTAGAAACCGAGTTTAAGAAAATTGGTGAAAGTTTTAACTCCTTTCTGCTTTCCACAAGTCTTGCTCTCTCTCGCTGCCTTGCAGCCCGAATGAACTGCAGAGCGATAGCTTCCTATTAAACTGTGTCACAAACACTCAAAATAATAGAAAGTAGGTTGTAACTTTTTCGGTAACTTGACAGAAAAGCACAAATCTGCCCCAAACACACTTTTCCCACACCTTACCTGTCATGCTGCAGCCTAGCAACGCAGCCACCTTATCACGGCCGCCTCCCGCCGAGCTGCAGTTGTTTTTGACAGCGACCGGTTGACGGAATGAGTCACTGAGTCTGCACCGCGGCGAGGAGGCAGCTGGTGACAGTTGCGGGCAGCGACAAGTCGGGGGAGCGAGAGTCATGGGAGGGAAAAGCTGTATTTTTCACCCAGCGTGGCTCCTGATGAGCTGATGGCGGCACAGCTGGTCAGCTGAGCGGGAGCCAATGGCTCTGTTTGAGGGACATTCTTGGAGTGCTTGTCTGAGCAGCATGAAATCCCAGAGGCAAACAGAGAGGCCACCCACTCCCCGTCTGTCACCCGCTGTCCTCCTGGAGACGGGGGCGTCCTCCTGGAGACGGGGGCGTCCTCCTGGAGACGGGGGCGTCCTCCTGGAGACGGGGCGTCCTCCTGGAGACGGGGGCGTCCTCCTGGAGACAGGGCGTTCTCAGGACCGGAGTTCAGACATCTGTCTGATTGATGAATAAACCTTACACCCAATATTGCTGTATGAAAATAAGTTTTTTTTTCCTCTTGTATTTTTGAACGGGTGGGACAAAGTTTGAACTTGCGTGGCAGTAAAATCTGCTGATTCCTTAACATTGTAGCACAGATCTAAATTATGTTTTATGGCAGGCGTGCCAAAACGTTCAAATTAAAAATGCTGGAATGATTTGTGATATTTATTCTTAATGGCGATATTTTATTAAAACAATCAAAGTCCTTAGATTTTTTTTTAAATAGAAAAGGATCCATTTAAAGTAAGTAAGTTGTTTGTTTCAGCTCTGTTTCCCATTTTCTCTGTATTTAGGTTGTGTCTCTCGGCAACAGGAAAGAGGAAAAGCGAGTATTTCTTCAAAAATACTCGCTTTTTGTAGCAAAGTTTAACAACTGGGTGGACCCGGTCATTAAATGCTTTTGGCATCTCCCACGAAATGAGAGTGAAAACAAAAAAAAACGTGTGTTGTACCTAACTTTTTCCATTTCAAGGTTTTTTTTTTATTTGTCTGCGTCTTTTTCTGGTAGATTAGTGAAAGTTTCTCCAACATCTGCTTGTGCTGAATGAGAGAGTGAAGCCTGCTTTCCTGACCCACAGATAATGAACACATCTACATGGAGTTGGACCAGAAGCTGTCCAAGTACTGCCCCAAAGAGTGGAAGAGAGAAGCCAGCAAGGTGAGAAAAAAAAAACTTTATTGAACATTTAGCTCAGTTTGTTTGGGTTTTGAGGTGTTAGTAAATACCAGCACAAAGATCTGATGCTCTCTCTTGTTTACGACGTTTAACTGCATTACATAACCCCATAAAATGGAAGTAATGAACTCATGTGGCGACTCGGCTCTGTTGTCGCTGAGGGTTTTTTTTTTAAACCATGCCTGGTATTGAAGGATTTAACTGGTCAGAAAATTACAGTAAACATTACAAAAATGAAGGATCTTCAAGGATGTTTTTAGTCCAGTCCACGAATACCGGACTATCAGAATCAGTGTCTTAGCTACTTAAGTTGCAATATTTGTTACATTTCTTTTTTGGTCCGTATCAGATTACGCATTCAAAACATTATCCGGACTTTCCATGCAAACGTACTACAGTTCTGTAGTTTGTTGAACTGTAGTTCTATAAAAGAACCAAAATATTATAGAACCAAAATATTCTTCCTGGTTCTAAAAAAAATATTTAGAACCAATATTTTGTTGCACTTTCAGCCTTTCTCCTTTGCTGCAGTGATTGATGTGTTTCTTCATTTGTGTTTCCAGGGTATTGACCAGTTTGGGCCTCCGATGATCATTCACTTCAGAGCTCAGTATTATGTGGAGAACGGGAGATTAATCAGGTCAGTAAAGATTCGTGAGCCTCGTTTTCCTAATTCGCCAACACTCACATCAACGTCAGAAACTTGAGCTGACCGTGCCGCGCTCTGTGTCGTGCAGCGACCGGGTAGCCAGGTACTACTACTACTGGCACCTGAGGAAACAGGTGCTGCTCTCACAGTGCATCCAAAGAGAGGAGGCCTACTTCCTCCTGGCAGCCTTCGCTCTCCAGGCCGACCTCGGGAATTTCAAACGCAACAAGCACTTTGGGAAGTACTTTGAACCCGAGGCCTACTTCCCCCAATGGGTGAGTGGGACTCACAAACAGCAAGTAGATGGTCTTCTGTTCACATCACACTTCTTGAATTTAAATAAGAATTTAGGAAATGCAGCATGTTCTTCTATTTAGATATTTCACAACACCTTTCAGATTTTGTTCCCAAATCCTGGTGTATGTTGATTGTATTTATTATGATAGATAAAAAGTAGTGCACGATGGGAAAGCTGGAGGGGAACTGCAGATTTTCTGAGTTGGTTACTTTGTAGAACGACATTCACTGAAGTTTACAGCCTCAAGTCTTTTCGATAATTTTTCCACCTATTTTGCACACCTACAGACAATTTTTTTTCTTCTTCGTCTTTGCAAGAGAGCTCAAACTCAGTCAGATTAGATGTGAGCTTGAACACAGATTCGCTTGTATTTAAGTCTGAACTGTGACCGGGCCATTCTGACACATAGCTATGCTTACATCTAAATCACTCCATCGTGGCCCTGCCTGCAGAAACCTTTTTACAAAAAAAATAAATGAACTTTTCATCAAATCGCCTTGGGGTCACCACTGACCCTAGGGTGCTTTTTGTTCAGTAATTTTCTCTAAGAAAGTTTGCGGCCATCACAAATCAGTTGTATTTATAATGAGACTAAGTCACACACACGTTTTTACACCTTTAGTGTTCTGACCCCGAGAGTGGACAGTCCTGGAAAAAACTGATAAAACTCTACACTATTACCTTTGTTTTAGCATGCGGCTCGATGAAAACTGGGAGTTCTAGTTTATTTTTGACCCTGAAAGTGGCACACAGAGTTCCTTAAGATGACTATTCTGGTAACTTCGGCCCTCTGAAGGCCACACCCGTCTGATTGCTCTCCTCTTCCTGTGATTAGCCCCCCTGCCTCTTTATCGCAGCAGAACCCGGTGCCTACAGGAAATTGTTGGAATGTCAACAACATACGCTTTCCCCAAAGCAAATCTCACCCAGATTAAGCCGCCGCATACGGAGATGACTTAGTTACTGGATCAGCCAGAGGCTCAGCGGCCGCACTTCCGGTCAACGTTTCCGGCCAGCGCTCAAGCTGCCCTCTCTGGCGTCTGTTCGCCCAGCGCCAGGCAGCTTCGGCACCTACGTCGCCTTCGCTCTCTGCAGCCTGACGGCTCCCTCTGTCTCTCCTCCTGCTCAGGTGATAGCCAAGCGTGGCCGGGAGTACATCCTGAGGCACATCCCCAACATGCACAAGGACCAGTTTGCACTCACCGCCTCAGAGGCGCATCTCAAGTACATAAAGGAGTGCGCTCAGCTCGATGACGTCACGGTGCACTACTACAGGCTGTACAAGGTGAGAAAAGCTCCGGCAGCTCACCGGATTTCATGTTCTGTTTAATTCTCTCCTCATCTGTTTTCCTCCCTGACAACAGGATAAGAAGGAAGTTGAGGCGTCTCTCACACTGGGTCTGACCTTACGAGGAATCCAGATATTTCAGGTAAAGACTCTTCCCTGCCAATAAGAGGCTGAATTGTGCAGATTTTAGGGTCTCAAAACAATTTAGTATCATTCTCTGCAAGCATGATATGTGAGAATGTCTTTGGTCTCACAAAAGTATTCATAGTTTGTTTTTTTTAACTCTTCCACATTTTGTCTACACTGCAAAACCCCAAGATCTTAAGTATTTTTGTAAAGTTTTCAATGCAAGAATGTTAGTACACTTGAAAGAAGATTAAAGTAACTTCAGGATGAAATAAGAGCGTGTTTCAAGTTAATAATTTCAAAATATTGATGAAAAGCTACTAGTTCAACTGGCAGATCCTTTCACTTATTACAAGATGTTTTCCCGTGTTATAAATTAAATAATACAGGAAATAATACTTTTTCTCCCTGAAAAGTTACTTATGACTTAGTTTTGTCTTATTTCAAGTGTGCTAGCATTTTTACACTTGAAACTTGAAAAGATTTTGGATTTTTTGGGTGTGACAGAGTGCTGAAAAGTTCAAACAAACAAAAAAACTGAGTACTTTTGCGAGACCGAAGACATTTCCACATGTCTTTTTAGCAGTATTTAGTATATCATCAAGCAATTCGTTGTTGCCGCTGCAGAAAAAGGTTTTTCTACCAAGTAATAACTCACAGGACAGAATTATCAATGCACTCCACACTTTTCAGGTGTTTTATTGGCTAAAAGTTTAAAAACAGGTATTATTTTTCTTCCACGTTCCAATTATTCACCACTGACAAGAAAAGAGAAGGGCGCTGCAACTTTAAAAACAAATTTATGTTAATAATGTTCATAACTCAATAAAGTTTGTCAAAGTCACTTTTTTTATGTTTAACTTCTTCACAGATTAATTAACTTCATTAATGAAGTTGGATGAATTTAATGTGATCAATCAAAGCAATATTTTTAAGTTAGATTGCCCGTTCTCTTTGTTTTCAGTGGAGAGCAGTAAAGTTGGTGGCTGTAACGTTTCAAAGCACAGATACTTTAGCGACGCAGCATGTCTCTGTAGAAGTAGGACGTTTGTCAGGTTGCAGCAGCGTTGGCCTTGTTTCTTTGTTTGATCCTCACTCCCCTTCTCTGTGTTGCAGAACGTCGGCTCGGTCAGGCAGCTTCTGTACGACTTCCCCTGGACCAACGTGGGCAAACTCGTTTTTGTGGTGAGTCGAATGGCGGCGGCGCCACGTTTTCCTCAGAAAGGATCTTCTTCCTGAGTTCCCGAAGCAGCCGCAGCGTCTATTAAAAATCCTCCTGGGTTTCGGGGTGGATGCGTGCAGAAAGCGAGCTCTTGCTCAGGAAACCTTTATGCAAGGCCTCGTTTTTTTCCTCCAACTTCTCTGGAACCAATCAGGGATTTTGAAAGACTTTCCTCACTCAAGCACACTGACGCACAAACACTTCACGTGGATTTTTAGTAATCAGCAAAACAATTTTTCCCTTTTGATAAACACGCCTCATGCTTCATCGACTTTATTATTAACCCTGCGGCCATTAAAGGGAACCTTGTTGAATCTCCTCGTCTTTGCTCTGACTCAGCGCGTCGTTCAGCTGAGCCCAGCAGCCGCTTCGCTCTAAGTGAGCCAAAGAAGCTCTCAATATAGCCGACGTTTTTTTTTCTGCCAGCTCGTCGTTTTTCTCCATCCGGACACAGACAAGAGCCTGAAAGGTATCTGGATTTTTAAAATATAATTTAAACGTCTGGATTCATCATTTTGTTTTGGGGTTTGCCGTGATAGACGTCCTGTTTTCCCTCGTTTTTTGGGGGATTTTCCCGCGGGGAGCGTCCTGACAGCGAGTCGTGGCGGGGCTCCGGTTTGGTTGCCTGGACCCGAACGGTTTCTCCCGCCCTTCTTCAGAATTGCAAAAGGCTTCCAGCTTCACCCAACCCATGGGTCGCGGCATCCACCGGTGGGCGAGTCTGAGGGCGAGCGAGCGAGCGGGGCGCGAAGAGACAGACGGGGAATTCAATAAACACCAGATGTTAGGAAGGATTTGGGGCTCTTGACTTGAGATTGTCTTTGGTCTAAAACATTCCTGGAAGGCAGGGCGTGTTTTAGACGGGCAGATTTTGTTATTTTTGCATCTTGCATTAATTTGATCCTGATGTTTCACAAGAGTGTCAGAAAAGGCTTGTGATGCTGCTGGAATATCTAGGAAGATACTACTTCAACCTTAATCAAGTCTCTTAAAAAAACTCTTAATGTCTATTTCATTTAAACGTTCCTGGATTTCAATTGGGCGTTTTCAAGGTATGGAAAGTGCTTGATTTCTGTAAAAAGTCTTTGAAAGTCCTTGATATTCAAACTGCACCACTATGTAATAAAGTGTAATCAAATGTTTTGTTAAATGCCTAAATATGGAAAACATAACTTAGAATTGGAACCAGATATTTTCATACACCTACTAAAAAGACAGATAAATTTTTTCGTCACTATCTGAAGTTAAATCAGAATACGCTTGTCTTATTTTAAGCTAGTTAGAATTACCAAAATTATTTCATTTCGCTAAATACCAGAAAACTTAGTGGGAACCTTTTTTGGAAATTTTTCTTATCATATTTTGTGTTTTGGCATTTAATTTGAGCAGGAAGGTGATTTACATTAAGACAATTTGCTTGGACTGTTTCAACGTATTGACGATTTATTATTCCCAACGTCTTTGTGTAATAGTAATGAAAGTTGGCTTATATTTTACACATTAAAGAAACAACATTGAAATAAACAAAGCTTAAGCTCAGCCCTGCAGTCAGAACTTAGTTCAAATGAGAAGAAAAGTATTCGGGTGTGTACAAAGAACAGACACACAAACAGATGTTTTTAGTCACATTTAAAGACAAAATCTGGGGGGGAAGGGAAGGAAAACATGAACTGATTTAATTTCTCCATGTATCCAGCCAACAAGTCCTCTCTGTGGAAAATCATCAGAATTCTGCATGAGAAAACATGAACTGACTCCTGCTTGCTGTTTGGCAACAAGGAGGGTTTGGCTGCTTGACCCTAAACCCTCCAGCCTCTCTGCCACTTTTAAAATGTTTTATTTTCCCTCTCCGTATTCCCTCAGGGGAAAAAGTTTGAGATCCTCCCCGACGGTCTGCCCTCGGCCCGGAAGCTCATCTACTACACGGGCTGCCCGCTGCGCTCCCGCCACCTGCTGCAGCTGCTCAGCAACAGCCACCGGCTCTACATGAACCTGCAGCCCGTCCTCAAGCAGGTCCGTCGGCTGGAGGAAAGCGAAGGTGATTTCGTTTACGCACGCCGCTCCGCTAAAGTGTTCACACCCCTTGAGCCGCGGCGCGCAGTCCGGTCCGTTAGGGTCCAAAAGTGCTGCATAATTGTGAAGTGGAAGGAAAACGAGGCATGGTTTTGCAAGTGTGGTGTGCATTTATATTAAATTCATACTTATGTTCAATTCAAAATACTTTATTAGTCCCAAAACATTTTAAATGATTTAGTTGTTTAATTAAATGGTTATTACAGCTGTAGGCAGAAAAGATCTCCTGCAGAGGTCTGTATTACAACAAATTTGAAGAAGCCTCTGACTGAAGACGCTCTGTTCGTCCATGAAGAGGATGATCAGGGTTGTTCATAGTTTATTTATTTTATTCATTCACCGTGGAAACAATACTGCAATGGATAGAGGATGTTTGTAAACATCAGTTTTCTTTGCTTCTTCTGTCCCCACATTAATCTCTGACCAGCCTCCCTTTGAATGTTCAACAAACACTTTTAAAAGTCTTGAAATATGTCATTTAATCTGATTAATCGCGATTAATCGATCATTGAAATAATCATCAACTAATTTAGTGATCAAATAATCGTTGACTGGAATATAGACTTTAAAAAGGCCATTTGGTGAAATGACAGCACTGTATGAGCCGCAATTTAGACAAAAGCAAACCAAAAAAAATTTTGCACTTGAGCTTAAATAAACATCTTTATCTGTAAATATTTTCTATCCAAAACTTTTGAAGTGACAGTTTAACATTCACTTGGTTCAAATTCTGCAAAAAAAAACAAAAACAAAAAAAAATCCCCAAATAAAAACATCGTATTAAGCAACTTTTGTTACCTAATTATTAATTGGATTGATATAATCGGATAAAATAATTGGCACAAGCTGGAGATTTTTCATTGAAGCCTTTTTATGCAATAGGGTTTAGTGATTGCCAAAAGTGAGTTGGAAAGAATGAAGTGGTAATTTTTCTTATTTTATTTATCTTTTTGTTAAAAAAATCTTTTTTGGCAAAAAATAATTGACTTATGTCATTATTTTCGGAATGTGACAATATTATGTAAAAAAGGCTTAAATGTGTCAATTACGTTATTCAATTAATTGTCAAAATAATTATCATTAATCGTCTAAGAGATGAACCAATAAGTAAAATAACTTAGTCAGATCCTTAATGTAATTGTTCTGTTTTAATGTGTGCAAAGATTCAAGGGTTATAAATATATATTTATATATATGTTTTTTTTAACTTAGCGTTGCATTTTGTTCCAGTGCTTCTTCAATTTCCTGCAAAAAATAAAAAAGATTGTGAATTGTCAACGTGTTAAACAGTAAAGTCTTCTAATTCCAGAGAAGAAGCAGTACCGGGAGTCGTACATCAGCGACGCCCTGGAGCTGGACATGGAGCAGCTGGACCAGCGTTCCCGCGCCAGCGGCAGCAGCGCCGGCAGCGTGTCCCACCACAAGCGCCTCTCTCGCCACTCCACCACCAGCCACGGCAGCTCGCACACGTCCGGCATCGAGACGGACAGCTTCAGGGCCCCGGGTAAGGCCCCTCACCGGCCCCTGCGCACCTGCAGCTCCTCCACCACCAGCCACGGCAGCTCCCACACCTCCGGCATCGAGAGCAGCGGCAAAGAGCGCATCCTGGACGACGACGGTAAGAGTGGATGGTTTGTGTTCTGTATTTAGGCTGACGTGTGTTTAGTTCAGCTCACAGAGATGTGCAGTGAGATGTTTTGTTTCACAAGGTTAGACTTTAAGGTCCAGTGCTTTTTAAACTTTGTGTCCGTTCTTCTGGAAATATGGTCATGCACAGCTATGCAGACGACACTCCGGTTCATGCTGAGTGTAAGGATGACGTTGTTTTTGTGCCCAGCAGAGATAGAGATGCTGGTGGACGACCCCAAAGACTACGAGGAGCTTCACGAGATGGCTCTGGATCAGGAGCTGTGCATCCACATCACCGAGGACATGCTGACGATGTCACCAGACCAGACCAATGGATATTCAGGTACAGAAGTCCAGGGAACGACACACGCCGTCCACGTTTCTGTGATTTGCCCTCAAACGTTTGCGTTTTGGCTTCTTTTCAGGTCTGATAGTGAAAGACATCAGCTCCTCCACCTCCAGCTCCTCGGAGACCGTCGTCAAGATGAGAGGACAGAGCATCGAGTCGCTGCCTCAGGTAACACCCGACTCATTTCATCAACATGCAGCACCACCGCCGAGACGAAGCAAACACAGGGTGAAATACGACGACAAACCTCCAAAGTGTTTTGAAGTTATTTTCAGCCCCGTTATACGGTCCAGCCTAATTTAACACAGTCGGTTCCGCCCTTCCAGAGGTAAACGTTCAGCCAGTGTGGCTCTTTTGTTTCCCCCTCCCTTTGAAAGCCACATAATTTAGCACAAACATGCAACAGTACCACAAGGACGACTTAGTCTGAAGATCTGATTGATCTGACAGCAGCATGGGGCAGTTTTGCAGCGTAAGGAAGATGGATGCAGATGGAAGCACTTTATTTCCAATTGGGGAAGAAAGATTTCAGACAAATTTAAATTTTATTAAAATACGTTGTATTTACAAGGACAACATCTATTCAAGTCCAGCTTTTATTGCTCGAAACAGGTTTCAACCTCATATGATTGACGAGGAAACCAAAAGGCGCCGCTTCGTAAAACTAATGGCAACATTGTTCCTTTTCACATTCACAGACGACCACGAGCCGGAAGCCTCAGTCCTCCACGGACCGCCACAGCCAATCGCTGGACGACATCCGGCTCTACCAGAAGGACTGCCAGCAGTGGGCGGAGCTTTGCCAGGACACCGCCCACAGCTACACGTTCGGCTGCGGCCAGGAGCTGAACGACGGCGAGGGGCACCAGGGCCTGTCGGAGCAGCGTGGCGGCGCGCTCAGCGAGCCGCAGCCCTTCCCCATCAAGCGAACGAACAAGTATTTCTCCCTGGACCTGACCAACGACGAGGTGCCCGAGTTTGTGGTGTGACGGTAGCGGACGACGGCGGCGTGTTTGCTAACGGTTAGCAAACCAGCGATGAGAAAGCTCGTCCGCTTCCTGAGATCGACCTGCAGGCCAAGAGGATTCTGGGTGAAGAGAGACATGTTGACCGAGTAAATGGCTGAACGGAGTTTTTTTTTGCTCAAAGATAACAAAAGGGATCCTTCTTTCTTTATGATTATGTTTCAGCCGATTTTTGAAGCCATGCAAAGACTGGAGGTGAAAACAGACAAGCAGGGCTGTTTGTAAATAAAGAGATGGACGTCTTCTGGGCTGGAAGCCAAAAACAAAAAGTGGAGTTAAACTAGAACGCCTAATTCTACGTCCACCGTTCCTCCGGCGTGACGAACCGGAGCTACGATCATCTTCTTCTTCTTCACATAAACTAAGCCGATATGAACACACCACCGCCGTGCCTTGGCAACACTATGCAGGTGTCGAACACTCGCCTTGACAATCACAGCCCTCTCCAAACGTTCAAGCCATGAAGATTGAAGGTTCTGCAATCTCTTAAGCCTCTCATTCCCATTTAAGTCAGTGACTGGAGCTCGCTCTGTAGCTTTTTAGATGGTTTCACGAAGTTTCTCTATTAGTCCTGTGATGTTTAGCCGAGTTTCCAGGCAGGGGTGAGCCTGAGAGCTCCTACATGTTCCAGCATGCATGTTTTGTGGCCAAAATATGATTCTGTAAGATCTGGAGTCAAAAGTGGAGCTGTCAGCCAAAACAACCCATGCATGTTGATGCTTTATGTCGTTTTTTTTTTCTTATTTACACATCTTGCCTTCTATCAGAGCTGATTTTATCATCTTTTTTTGTTTGTTTTTGTTTTTTAATGGAATCTGTTTTGTGAGGTTGTTTTTATTTCACATCCTCCTCCAACCAAAAAAGAAACAAAAACATTTTTTTAGATGTATTTTTATACTCAAAAAAATACACTTTATGTTTAGACATTATCCTGCTGTCATTCAGTATTACGAATAAATCTCGGCGGCAGTGTTAAGGATGTGGCGCTTCTAACCAGACTAACTGGTTCCATCCGGTTTAGTCGTTTCAGTCTCCCAGTAAGAGTCCAGACGGCCTGAGGACGCGGCGAGGCAGGCGGTCCGGTGTTACAGCCGACATGTTGACACACTGCAGACGGCGTGGATGAACATGGAGCTCTGTTAGGGACCAGAAGACCCTGCAACAACGTTGCAGGTTAGTCTTCGGTTTAATAGTTTCTTAGTTTTAAATGTGACAGAACGCAATTTGAGTCTTGAAAAGTTGCACGAAAAAAAGGGATTTGTTTGAAATAGAAGACAGAACAATCAATGCTGGTTTGCGTTGTTATATGAGGCAACATTTCTGAGAGGCAATACTTGAGCAAGACGAACAAAACCACAGCATCATAACCAGGCATGGGTTGGTGAGAGGTTTGCATGGTAAGATTAGAAACCAATGTTTAACTTTGCTTACACTTATATTTTAAACATAAACATCTTATATTTGAACAGAAAAGCAACATCTGTGCCAAAATATAGAGATTTTTGAAGTTTTAACTGTTCTTTGCAACATGCTTTTAATGCTGTTTTGATGAGCAGATAAAGGGACTTAGTATCTTACCTTGGCATCTTCATTTCATACAAGTCTGGATCATGCTAACTGCTAGCCGCAAGACCAAAGTGGATTTCTTTATAAAACTCTAGCCCCCCAAAATTTTTATGCAAACTCTATTTTACGAGCCTTTATGTTGCCGTCATGTTTACATCGGTTGGTCATTTACTCAGGAAATTTAGGTTGAAGATGGTGCATCACCTGTAATGTTCCTGTGTGAAACGTAAACGGACAGAGAAACGTGTAAAGCAACTTCCAGCCAGAGTAACTCAGTGACATTATTTTATTCATATTTATACCACTTTGCTTTTTATCACTCAGTTACTCAGACCATGAACACCTTATGTTCTGTTCTTTGTACATGTTTCACAGAGGAAGATTATTGTTGACGCACTGCATCCCAGCCTCCGTTTCCTGTGTAAATAATAACCTGTTTCTTTAGATAACAAGCAGCCATTACAACCTGAGAATGGTTCCAATCTTCATAACCACTGTTGGTGTTTTTTTTACTGGAGTTATTTCTAGCCAGTCGAAGTTAGCTTTAGTGCTTTTTAAACTTTGTGTCCTTTCTTCTGGAAACATGGTCATGCACAGCTATGCAGACGACACTCAAGCTAGCGTTGAAGTAGCCGCTAGCTTCAGCCTCTCGGACCAGCAGACGTGGATTTATCACAACCCTGCGATCCATTAGTTTCAGAAGTCAGCGTGGATTTGTGGGCTTTTTTAGTGCTAACTTTTCTTAACAATACACACCAATAACTGTATTTCTCTCTTTTTTAATTTAATATGCTCACAAATTGTGGTTTCACAGCACTCAGTGCTACTGTTAATTTCATATATTACATGAGGCTGGTTTTCAATTTATGACTTTCAGTATGGTCTATGTATGTGTTGGCCATATTGGATGCCAAATATGGCCGACACATCGAACAGAAGAGGACGAATTCTCACTTCCTGTTCTGCAGAAAAGATTTAAGCCCCTTCTAACCGTGAGAGAGAACTTCACTTTAAAAAAACATTCAAACTGTTCCTTTAAGCAAATATACAGAACAACAGTCACTGAAACTTTAAGTTGAACAAAATGTTGGTCTTTTTTGTCTTCCGTAGTTTTATAACAGTGTTAGAAGCTGAAGATTATGATCTGGGTATTTATTTCCAATTGTCAATTTTAACTTTCTTGGAAGTAAGGGACACATGTTGCAGCTTTCATTAAGCAAGTTGACCAACAATGCACAGCAATAAGTGGGGGAGGGGCAGCATTCTGTTAATTGAGTGCTTCGAACAGCCAATTCTTCCTGACATTGCCATAAAAGGAGTTTAACCATTGTAACAACGCAATAGAAACATTCAGAACCTCCATCTGACCCATGCGTGGACCACGCTGACCTTTGAACCCTGGCATTCACAGCAGGAAACACTAACGTCTTCCTCTCAGCTCTTTGCTGCTCCTTGTGGCTGTTTTTCCTTCTCTGCATATTTTCAAAACTTCAGTTTTGCGTCACAAGCCTGTTTCTATGTTTTCGTCGTCAACGCAGACTTTTGGCAACATTAGACAGGTCATTTAAAGTTCTCCAGAGAAGAGCTGAAGCTGTCACAGGCTCCGCCCATTAATCCCACGTTAGCATAAAAATATGCTCAGGAACTGACAGGACCAAGTGCGTTCACGAGGCTTCGCTCGCATGTTTTATCTTCAATGGTTTCATCGGTTCACTTGTCTTAAATCTAAAAACTTTTATATTCTAAATACAACTGAGTGAATGTGCTCATTTTGTCAGGTTGGATGTTCAGGTTATTTTTAGCCTGTATGCTAAGAAATGCTAACAAACACATTTAGCTCTCAGTCTGAAGTGCTCTCGAACTTCTGATGTGCGTCATGAATTTATTTCTTCAATAATAACTGTTACACATATATCACCTCTTTATAACTTTTAAGATTCTGTTTTGGTTGGCTGATGTCTAAGATCAACGTGGTTGCCTTAAGTGTCATCAATAAATCCTCACATTTGCCAAATTTAATTAGTAACATAATATCCACCTTATTCCAGCTTTACCAGTATTAGAGTCTCTAGAAAAAAATACTTTCTTTAAATTGATAATGCTTTGAAATTGAAATGAATTCCTCTGTTTCTTCCTGTGATTTTACAACAGCGGTTCATTAATCGAAGGTGTCAAAGTCATTTTTTGATCAGCAGCAAGACCTTTTCTTTTTTTTTATTTCATCGAATTTAAATGTTTAGGTACACAGCCATGCAGGCATAAACCTGCCATTGAGAGGTTTCGTCATTTCGTTGTGATTTACTTCTCCGGCTTTAGTAAATGGTCCTACTTACGCTTTGTAAGAGTCTGTGTGTCCCATAATCCTTTCTGTGAAAGGATCTTCCTGCAGGAAAAGAAGAGTTTTTTTTGTTTGTTTGTTTGTTTTTTTGTCACCCTACTGTTAAAAAAGATAATTTGTAATAATGGATCTGCTCTGTGCCTTTTTGGTACCAATGTTCCTCACATCTAATAAACAGGTACATGTATCTTACTATTGAGCTGCTGTCTGTTCTTTACCTAATGCTGCACAGATTTCCTAATGTGTTCAGAGTATAAGGGAGTGCTTTGTTTATTTTAGTCATTCAATTTAAAAAAGTGAGACTTCTTTTATAATTCACCTCTAAAGCGATATATTTGAACATTGCTGAAGAATAATAAGACAGAAATCTTACAATTATTACTACAAAGTCAATGACGGCTCAGCAGATCATCATTGACTCTCCCCCTGCACCAGGTGGATACTTGATAAAGGGTCAATGCTTTTCATAAAGTGCTATGTTCACGCATAAAAATGGAAAGTTAAGTGGAAGAAAAAGTGCGTAACTGGACAACTTTTGCACTTGTGGAGATAAACTACTCTTGAACCAACAGCACAGTCGTAGATGCTCTTGTTTGGGCTATTGGGGGAAAAATGTAAGACTGTTGATTTGTCTTTCTGATTAAATCAAAATTTGCATTTAATTTGGTAATTGGTGACCCAGAAAGCAAAGGAAGAGCTGAGAGAGCAGATACATGTTACTTAAAGTCACAGACAGGCCATCCCCATGATGCAAAGATACAAAAAACGAAAACAAACGAGCCCCAAACAGATATTGACATTGATGATGCTGTACAGTAAATTGACTTGCAGTTAGTAAAAATACTAGCAGAAAAATGAAATATTCAAATGTTATGAAAAGCAAAATTGGGACGTCGCTGTTTGTGAGACAAAATCATCTAAATGAACAGCAATAAGTACCTGGAATATGTGTGCAATGATTATATAATTAACTTTCAGGAAAAAAAAATAGGAGGAAGAAGTAAAGAAAAACACTCCTATATTTTTTTAGCTTTTGCTGCCCTCTGCTGGAACACAATGGTCAGCAATAACTGAATTTGACCTGAAGGTGGTAGTAGTGTTAAAGCTACGTTTAGCAGAGTTTTCTTCTCATAAATGCTCACCAGCTGTTTGTTGATTTCAATGTAATGATGAGTTTTAGGTGTTTGCAGTGGGAAGGCCTCTTTCCCATCACCCTAATCATTTGCTTCACAGACTCTCTCAGGCTTTCAGTGACTGGATCACTACAGAATGTAAATGTCTTCAAGTGTGTAGCTGTAGCCATCGATGTTCCTTAAGAGAAGAGGGAGAGACAGAGAGAGAGATTTGTTTCCTCGTGGTCCAAAAAAATCCCTGGATTTAGGTCTGGACTTTGACTGAACCATTGTAACGCATCATTGACATTCTTTAAACTAAACCATTGAACTGTTATCAAGTCTCACCAGCTCTTCTGCCGCCGTTGAAGCAACTCCCACAGCATTACGTTGCCACCACCATGTCCCACAGGAGGTGGCGACGCGCCTGACGCTCGAAACGCTTTTGCTGTAACCGCACTTTTATCGTTGCAACAGATCAAGCAGGGCTGAATGCAAGCATGCCACACTTTTCAAATTTTCATCTGCAAAAAAATTGTGGAAGCCGCTCTGTTCACAAAACAACTTTGTGCTGCTGCTTTCACAATAAGGAGACTCAGTTCTCGATCGGTAAACTAAAGCGTGAATGCAATGAAAAATGAAACGCGTTGCAGTTTGAAGTTGCTTTTTTTCAAGCTCCATGTGTTGTTCTCCAATCAGCAGCTGGAACAGATGAACGTCCGAGGTTCTCTCTTTCTTTCTTTCTTTCTTTCTTTGTTTCTTTCTTTCTTTCTTTCTTTCTTTCTTTCTTTCTTTCTTTCTTTCTTTCTTTCTTTCTCTCTTTTTTTTTTTTTCTTTTGGTAGATTTCCAAAACTTGGCTCAGAAGACATATCCCAGAATGCTCTGGTGCAGCAGAGGCAAAGAAAACCTGGATGCTTCACTCACTTCACCAGGCTCCACCTCTTTCCCTCTTTCTGCAGCTGTACAGGAAATCAGTCATCCTCCATCCACTGCTGTCTCCATGGCAACACGGAGGGGGAAATCCTTTTTCTGGTCCTGTCACCCCCCACACACACACACACACACACACACCCATTTGTCTCCCTCCCTTAGCCGTTTGTCTTGTTTCACAATGTGCCGCTCGGTTTGGAACGTTTTGGTTTCACATCCAACATGTTTTTAAGCTTTTACAACATCATCTGCATTTTTAAAAAATTATCATTATTATTATTATATTATTATTATTAAGTGCACCTCACTATCAGAGGAAACTGAGTGACAGTGCATCTCAGACGACACACATGACCTCTCTCTCTCTAAATCCCAGAGGGCACCAGGACAGCACAGCTCTGCTCGGCCTTGGAAGGAGGCAGATGGCTGCAAATCACAGATGAAAATCTGCCCCCATCCTTCTCTCTCCCCCCCCCCCAGCCTGCAACATCTGCCTCCTCCACAAGCAAAACAAAACAACGCCGCTGACGGGAGGGGAACCTTGGAAAATACAGCGGCGGTGCTCAGCCATTAAGGTAAAAGAAAAGGGAAAACAAAAAAGTTCCTGCAAAACACCAACAAAACGTCGTTATTGTGAGATAAGGGCTTTTATTAGCAACTCAAAAGCCACAAGCTTTTTATTTCTATTCCTCTTTTTTTTTATTTTTCTTTTTCCATAAGCTCTGAAAAATAAAAAGCGATTAAAGGCACTTAGTAGAGCAGCCTATTAAGCTCAACAGCTGCAGTGACACCAAAAGGTCCGGAGATGATCCCTGATCTGATAATAAAACTCGGTAATCAGATTACGAATTAGCAAATCTCTGGATTGGGTTCCTCTGCAGGGAAGCGTTTCGCTGTTTCTGTCGCTGGCGGCGCTCAACCAGCCTGCAGAACCAAAGTGTCACAGAGCGCGTCGTCTTACAGCGACAAACTATTTTCAATTACCACAGATTTTCTCTCGTAGTTGTTTGACAAAACTAATGTATTGTCAGGTAGCATCTGCAGCTTCATTTAGCCGGATTGAGGGAAACCAATGAGGTGAAAGGAAATGAATACATGATATTTTTCCATAACAAATGAAAACTGTGGCCCCCTTCACTCTGACGCCTGCTAATAAAATCCAGCAGTGTTTGGAAGTCAACTAAACGCAAATTATCCCCGAACACACAATCTTCACCGTAACGCACGGCGGTGGCGGCGTCATGCTTTTCCTGAGCCACATACAAGGTGGGCACTGAAAAACAAAATACATTTTAGGCAGCGAAACATTTAAAACTGGGTCAAATTTCACCTTTCAACAGTACAAAAAAAAAACTTTAAACAGTGGTTTAAGGTTGAGATCCAATCAGATTCAGGGACCAGTCAAAGTCCGAATGAGAATCTATCACAATGTCTGAAGATGTCTGGTTTCTTAATGTAACCGAGCAAAGAAATCACATCCAAAATGTCACAGTGTATCATTTTTGTGTCACATGAAACTCACGGGTGTTTGTGGCGACGCGATGTGGAAAAAGCTCAAGCGGCGTAATCTAGATCAAAGACCCAGAACATCACCTGCTCCAGTTTACACCAGGAACTCTGCGACGCGTCAACCTGAGGCCTCGTCGTCACCTGAGGAACCAACGCTCGGTCGATTCACCGCCCTCCTCTCTCCGGACCAGCTGCTACCGTACGCCAGCGCAGTAGTGGAGCCGGCTGCTGTCACTCGCTGATTTGGTGTTTTTCTGACGGAGCTGCAGGGAAATGCAGTTTCTTTCTGTCAGGATCTTTGGGTTGTTTTGGGACTTGATTTGTTGCTTCTAGTCTTATTATTATTCTGCATTTCTTTGATTAGATCAGTGTTTTTTCTGCTTAGTACTTCCTAGTGATTCTAGTGTATTTCTTGTGTCTAATGCTCTAGTTTTATCACGTCAATTATGTCTAGTCATTCTTTAACGTCAAATTCATTCCCTCACCCGCTGAGCCACTTTCACTCTCTCTCTCTCTCTTCGCTCACACCTGCAACTCATTCTCAGTCACTCCTTGCTGGTTCCCCCTGTTATCTCCCTGTTTCTCCCTGCTGACATTTTGTTCCTTGAATCCTTGTTTTGTTCTGCTCTGGCTCCCCGTTGCCCATGTGATTATTTATTTATTTTTTTCATCACTTCTTATTAAACTTTCGACTCCCTGCCCTCTGCTGCTGCCTCTCCACACCCTGTCCTACTTCATCGCCACACGCATCACAACACTTTTATTGTAAGTCTATTTAAATCCTGGCCTTTTGAAACTTTGTAGCATTTTTTATTTAGTTTTTTTTACATGGAGGAAAATGTTCTCAAGGGCTTTTTGCAAAAGTTTTCTTTCCTTATTTTAACATCTCAGGATAGAAACGAAGCAGTGGCTCTTTGAAAGCGACGAACGTCCTGGACGTTTATCCAAATCACAATTAGAAGTTGTCGCTTTTGCAAAATGTCACATAGTATTTGTGGTTCTAATCATGTGTTGTTTGGCCAGACTGAGAGCCAAAATGGCTCCACGGATTGAGAAAGTTGAATCAAGACTGACACATAAATAGAACCTGCAACATAACAGCTGCGTGCTTAAGTTATACGTCATCAGTCAAATCAAGGCAGTCGCCTGTATAGTCTCAAATTACACCAACATGAAACAATTTGTACAATTTAACGTTTGGAAGTATTCACTGTGTGCAGCAGTAGCTATTTATGGATACTTTAAAGTTTGTTGAGTTTTATCGAGCCATTCTGCCACATCTGGGATCTCAATGTGGCCTAGAATAAAAGTGAGTTTGAGACGCCTGGACAAGAGAAGAAGCGTGCAGCGGCAGGAAACTTAAAGATGTTCCAGATTTTCCTTGGTGTCTCGGCGGACCAGAGGACGAGCGGCCTGCTGGGAGAAGGAATGTGAGGATGTGACACTGGCGGAAACGAGGGACAGGATGAGATGATTCACAGTCTCGATCCCTGAAGGGCTCCAGCGGATCTGCAGTGTCTCAGAACAGACATGTTAAAGTACTCGGAGTGCTCGAGTTTCACTGCGATTGATATTAGTGATTTTGGACAAAGATCGGACGGTTTGCTCAGTTTTTGCAGAGGTTCAGTCAAAGCACAAAAGCGAAGGAGAACCTCGCGTCGAGATTCATGATTCACATGGGAGAATTTGTTGACAGATTTTACTCTAAGAAGAAAAGTGCAATAGAGCAGAAAACCCACCACCAGGAGCATGTACGGTGGTGGCAGCGTCATGCTGCGGGGTTTTCTTTTCTTCAGCGGGGACGCTGCTGGAGTTTATGGGGAGACAGATGGAGCTAAATGCAGGAAGAAAACTTAGATTTACGTCTGAGACAGAAACATATTGCTGTCGATCAAAGCACACGCTAGTGTGGTCTAGTCAAAGGCCAAAGCTAGATTGAGCAATGTTCGTTGCACGCCACACTTTCCAGAGTTTTATTTGAAAAGACAAAACAAAACAAACAACAACTTTGTTCTACTTTACAATTTTGCTCAACTTTGTCTAGTTTTGTCCAGCAGCGGTTCTGGTCTAGTTTCCAGTGCAAAAGACAAAACTAAATCTTTTTTTTTTTTTTTAAATACAGTAAAAATCTGCACAACAGAGCAAGATAATTTAAAGCCAGTATGGCCAACAGGACATCCAAACGTGCAGCTGCTTTCTGTCTCCACTTCTAACTCTTTCTTTCCATGATTATTATTATAATTATTATTATTATTATTATGAGCTATTGTAGCTTCACTGTGACGTGGAAGTAGATTAAAAAGATTAAAAGCTTCCGCTTTGGCACCAGAATGCGCGACACACAGGATGTTGTCGTTGTTGAGGGTTATCGTTTTTTTTTTTTTTTTTTTTTATTTAAATCAACAAACAGCCAAAAAAAAAAAAAAAGTAAAAGCGGCCACGTCGGTATGAATCTGTTGTTTGCTGTGACTGTTTATACAGGCCGCGCGAGCTCTTCCGGTGGACCTCTGAGAGGAGCGCGAGCGTTTCCTATTAGGCAGAAAAGAAAAGAAACAGAGAGAGAGAGAGAGAGAGAGAGAGAGAGAGAGAGAGAGAGAGAGAGGGAGGAGGAGGAGGAGGAGGAGGAGGAGGAGGAGGAGGAGGAGAGGAGGAGGAGGAGGAGGAGGAGGAGGAGGAGGAGGAGGAGGAGGAGGAGGAGGAGGAGGCCCATAGCGCCTTGCAGCCGGAGCGGAGCGGGTTGTGGCCGGAGGGTGGAGACTCGGAGAGGAGGGAGGCAGCGGGGCTCTCAGCTGGAGCAGAAACAGAGAGAGAGAGAGAGAGAGAGAGAGAGAGAGAGAGAGAGAGAGAGAGAGAGAGAGAGGAGTGTGTGTGTGGATGTACTTTGCTCGCCTCGCTCGCTCACTGAGTGTGTGGATTCTACTCCACAGCGCTGGATGCGTGGGGGCTTCGCTGAGAAGAAGGAGAGAAAAGAAAAACATCAAGAAAGGTAGGATTTTAACAGCATTTCTCTACGTTTCCCTCTCTGTGTGTTTTCTTTTAAAGCGCTGTGTGGGTGAATTTGGACCAGAGCAGGGTGTGTTCTGGAGGAGGAGGGCTTCCTCGTGTCCATGCTGTCGTTTTGAGATTGATGCCACTGGCGGGTCGGCATCATGGATTCCCCCTCCTCCCTCTGAAGCCGGTCACATTCTCCCCGCTTTGAGCCCTGGATGCGTCTCTCCTCTCTCCATACATCAGAGCGACGGCGGCGGAGGGTGGGGGGGAGAGAAAGAACGGACTCCCTTTTCTTTCGTCCGTCCTGTCTCTCCCCTCACCACTGGGTGAAAGCGAAGCCAGAGGAACATCTGCTTCTGGGGATGTTTGCAGAATGGAGCTAGAGATGGGAGTGTGTTGGGTTCAGGCGCGGTGGGAGGTTTTCTGGTGAGAAGAACCGGGTCGACCGCACGCCCAGCTCCAGGCAGGCGGACGACCAGACAAGGAGGAGAAGGAGGTCGGTCGGTGTTTTCCCGCAGCAGACGCCGCACGACTGTCAGCTCTCGAGAAAGCCAAGACAACAAAACGCAGACGTGCTTCTTCGACCCCTCCACCCCCAAACCACTGCCTCCGTTCTGTGTCGTCACCAAGGCTTCGTTGAGCTCTGCTCGCGTCAAGTCAGCCCGGCGGCGTTGCTCACACGGGGCCCACGGCACACGCAGGCCGTGAGTCATAAACTACGCAAGCGCTCACGTCCAGGCGGATCGGAGCGCATCTAGAATACAAACGGCGGCCTCCAGCTCATCGGGGGTTCAGTCCGGAGGAGGCGGTGCAGAACCGGGTGAAAGAGCTGAGAAAAATGCTGGGAAACGAGATTTGTTTATGTCCAGTAGGTAAACAAATAGATCTGGACAAAGACTGACACGTCTCAGTGGAAGACGCTGAGCCGGTGGGAGCCAAACACGACCACACATCAGCCAAGCTAAATAAAGGCATAGAGGAGCTGAGCTGTTCCTGGATCTGTGTAAACAAGCCCAGGAAGTGATGGGCTCTGTGAGAGGGGTCAAATGTCACAGACGGAACGTAGAAGGGATGAAGGGAATCATCTTGACTGTCTGAGTCGGCGTCTTCTTTAAAATGACAGAACAAAAGAGAGGCAAGAAGCCACCAGTTTGAGGAAACGAGGTCCTGAAGACCGTGTGTGCAAACGTTGCTGTGGAAACCACAGAAGAAGTGGAGGTCCTCAAAGGGACGAGGCGGGGGGACGATCGAACAGGATGCTGCGGCTCGGGCCACTTCAGCTTTTGTACTCGGTGCTCTTTGTATGTACCCAGTGAATTTTTTTCAAAAGAACAGTTGACTTTACCCTGTGACGATGATGGGGCTCAGAAAGAAAGACAACGGTTTAAAAACTAATAGCTGAATTCAAGTGAAGACCCAGTGGGCTTGGATTTTTACACTTCCACTGAAGCATCCTTCACCTGTGACGTAAGACCAGCCCCGGCACTTTACAGAGTTGGCTGGACGAAGTTATTGCCATAAACGGGGAACAACGTTGTTGTTTCCAACCGCTTTCAAGTGATATAATGATGGCAAAATAATGCAAGAACACATTTTCAAAGAGCAGTAAGCTTTACATCAGAGTGAAGATTAAACTCTGGAACTGGAAGACATTTCAAATATAAACAAGACAACAGAAACGATAAATTAAATTGAACTATAAAGTCTCTGACAACGACGCTGACATTGACTCAAGACTTTTGTCATTCAGTTTTTGGTAGAAAGAGGAAAAGCTGGTTTTAATTGGTTGGCCTCTATGAGACAACAATTTTCTTTTTGAGTCTAGACTGAGAGAGAGAGAGAAAGACTTGTCTCACCAACTTTCAACTTAGACCGTCTGATCTATATCTGTAGTTTTAGGGTTATGGTTTCCAGGCCTCAAGTGGTGAAGCTAAAGTCTACCTTTAGGTCACATCTCGACTCCCTGCGTCACTTTAAATACATTAAATCTCCAGGAAATAATGTCCTCCATTCGTTTAGGTCCTCGTCTTGCTACACAGCACTCTGTTGATTCGTGTCACGGATCTCCTCCCTCGCCTGTTATCTTCTCTCCTTGTCGGTTCTTGCTGTTCATGACTCCCTTTCAGCTGCTCTCAAGTCCTGCCTCGTCTCTTTTGTCTCCGCTTCTTGGTCTTGTGTGTCGTCTTCATCTTCAGCGTGAGATTCCGGGTTTTACATGTGATCCAAATTCGCAGCAGAACTTGCTGACAGTGGCGGCACTATTTTGTAGGTAAGGAGTTTCTGCAGGCAGCGACGCGGAGGCTGGACGAAGCTGAATGATCCTACAATGCAATGATCTAGATCAAAGCATAGTCACGCATTTGAAAGGGCCTAAACAAAGTCCTGACCTAAACCCAGGTGAGATTCAATTGCAAGACTTGAAAATGGCAGATCCCTGCAGTCTTAATGAGATTGCAGGTAATTCTGCTCTTTAAGGTTGTGAGAATACAGTGGGTAGAGTGCAAAGGGTTTTTTCCAGAAGTAGGGATTTTTATAAATTGGGCGGGTTGTGACAGCGGTGGTCGTGGTTTATTTGGGTTATTTATACAGTTCTGATTCACAACGAATGTCTCAAAATTCTTTGTTTTGAAAATAAAAATATGCAATATAAATTAAGTCAGTCCAGTTGCATTGACAGAATCACAGTCGTTTTGCATTCATTCAAATTCAGATGCAGTCAGCTTCCATTTGGTAGATGGTTGTCCGGTCGCATTAAGTCTCTGACTTTGCAGCGACCTCTGCCCCTGAACCTGAGGACGGCCAGTTGCATCATGCCATCGATTTTGCTGCACGGAGAAAGAAAACGACACGCTTTCCTAGATTTTAATTTGCAGGAATGTTGGAAAGCAGTCATTTTCTTCCCACGTAGCAATCGTTCAACGCCTTGTGTTGATAGAAACATAAAATTCAAAACAGTTTGCCTTAAGGTTTGTGGTTGTGATGTGACAAAGTGCAGAAAACCTCACATCACATCTGGGCTTTTGCAACGTCCTGTAAGCCTTCTGTTGCCCTGATTCTGATCTGAGACCGATCTAAACTACTGCTTAAATAAAAGTTTCATGACAATCTAAAAATTAGTCTAAAGTCAGATCACAAGTTAACCCAAAAATTTGGAGTTTGACTTTTGGAAAAAGTCAAAGCGAGTCCCTTTCGTCACGGACTGAAAAAGTTCTGAAACTCATCCGGACTGGTTTGCCTGAGACGGCCCGATCGCCTCTCTCTGCAGAACCGAGCCCTCCCTGATGTTTGTAATGACTCTAACGTCTCAAACCAAACGCAGAGACATCCTGTTTGCATTCTTCTTGACATCTGAAGCAGAGAGAGCGCAGCAAACCGAAAACAAGGCTGATTGAAACCTAATCTGTGTCACACAGAAGGAAGTCAAAGCTCAACGTCGTTTCGTTGAGCGCGACAAACTGCTGGTTAGCGTTTGAAGAGGGGAAAGAAATGAGCAGCAACATTTGGCTCCGGCTTTGTTTTTGTGTTTTTCTCTGTCATCTGCAGTCAATATTTCAGAGAAAGAAAAAAAAAACATTCCTTTGTCACTTGCTTGGATGCAACAAAGAAGCCCCACACCAGGCTGCACATGTTAGATTTAATAAACATAACAGAACACATTTGCCCTCCCTGGAGCTATGAGTTTCCACCCCGCTGCCTGCCTGACTCCCAGCGGAGGAACCGTTTCCTGGCCCCCCTCCCCACCCACCTGCCTGCGGGACCTAGATTAACCTAAAACACTCACAAGCGTACAAACACGCATGCACGTTCATGCTCTGCAGCCTGCAAGATGGCAGGATAGGCATGGCCTGCTGAGGGTGGCACGAATGTCCAGGCGAATCGAAGGAGCGAGGGAGAGCTGGTGTAACGGACAAGCAGAGAAAACGAGAAGGAAGCGAGGAAGTACTCTTTAAAAGACTGACACACATGGCGATGGGTTCTCAACGATGTTCTCCTGGTTTGGATGATGTCTGATCACTTTGGAAGCCGTTGGCGTTCGACTGGGCTATTCGTCATCTTCAAGAAACTTGGTTGAGAACTCGGGCACAATGTGGCCATAAAACATGGATATGGTCAGCAAGAATACTCAGATAAGAGGTGACGTTTAAATGAATCTTTTTAGAGACTAAATATGTCTCTTAACATATCGGCTAAACCATTACATCGTCAGTATTGGCCTTAACTGGTGGAATAAGGCAGCATGTTTTCCAGGTTTTTTACATTAAATGTGACCCTAAAATTAGACCTGAACTCGAAACACTGAGTTCTTTTAAATCTAGACTGAAATCTCAGCTGATGAGTTGCTTTTGAAATATAATCACAAAACATAAATCAATAAGCTGATGTCTAGTCACAGCAAAATGTGATATTGTTGACTGTGTTTTTATCATGTAAAGCCCTTTGAAATGCCTTATTGCTGAAACGTGCTTTACAAATAACATTTGATTGGTCGATAATTGATTGATAACAATTTTCCAATCTACAGCTAATGAATACATCATTGTCTAATGTGGATGATATAGCACCATCAGTTTCATGCTGCTAGCTAACAGGGAAGTTGTGTGGACATCAGCTATTGTAAAAGCACTCCTTCCTTTTAGGGTGCGCTCACATCCTCCCTGTTTAGTCCACTTTAAACAAAAACTCTAGTTCTTTTGCCTAGGAAGTCCAGTTCAAGAAAGGCAAACTCTGGTCTGCCTACAAACCTAATTTTCAGTTCGGTTAAAGTGAACTCTGGCTCAGTTTGAATGCACATGAGAATGTCAAGAGGATTGGAGAATGCCCCAAAAACAGGAAGTGGACGATAGAGCAAGGCATTCTGGGTAAATACAACCAAAACAAAGGCGAGAGTCTAGAATTGGCTTGTAATCTCTCACTAAAGACAAAAGAGAAATTGTACAGCTGGTAGAATTTGACGCCACTTCATGTTTGTTTACGTTCTGTGAAGGAGGAAGTGGC